TGTATTGGTTAGGGATAATGTGGTCCTTAGAGATGATGGAGTATATCGCTGCCAGGCTCAGAATATGGCTGGTATTGGTGCCGCTAACATTACTATTAGTGTCTTTGGTAAGTATGTACATGTACTGTATAGCCACTTAATTTTGAGGGTAAAATTTTTGCTGTTTTTGCGGATTTTCTGTATCCGCGAAAGTTAATTCCATAAAATTTCTATATTACCCTATAAACACATTTAGTTTTAAATAAGAACCATGAAAGTTAATTCGCAAAAAAAGACTTGTGGCCTGATTGCGAAAGTTATTGCCTCGAAACTTTGTGACTATACGGTACATGTACATGTACATGTATTTGTATTGTGTTGTTGTTATTGTTTACATTTTATAGTGATTTGTTGTTGTGGCTATTTATTGTTATGTTAATTGTTGTTTATTGTTGCTGTTACTCTATATTGATGTGGAGTGTTTAATTGTATGCATCTATTTTAAAAATTTTATTAAATGTATTATTTTTCTTTCCCTCTCTTTCCTAATCCTCAAACTTCTTTTCTTTATTTTAATATAATATACTCAATTTTTTTCCTCCAGTCCCCCCACCAGTTATACTTGATCTTAATAATCTCAATGCCACCATTGGTCTCAATATTACACTCAACTGTACAGCATCAGGTTTTGGTCTTACATATGAATGGGATCTCATTCCTTGTGGCCCTGGTTGTATGACTAGTGGATTTGATACTCCAATACTGTCAGTGGGACCTATTGTTTTTGGATCAGCTGGGGAACATGTTTGTAATGTCACTGATTTTATAGGACAGAAGGTTTCAAAGATCATTACTATCACACCATTGGGTGAGTATTGGAATACATATTCATTGTATAACGTGTACATGTACTGTGGGCTTTAATTTAATTGCAACTATACTATGTGAACTAAAAATACATGTAGCATGTTAGTGTATGCAACATGGAAATTGTTGGATGTTTTCCATAGTGTGCATATGCATGTACATGTACTTTTTTGTGTACATACATGTATGCATCCTTTTTTAATTTTATGATTTTCATCCCCCTCTCTCTCTTTCTCTCAGGTCCTACTTTATTATCATCAAATGTGTCAAATTGTGCTGCCACTCCAATACTAGTGATCAATGGAACCAATGAGTTCCTAGAATGTTCATTCCAGAACAGACCTGATGCTCCATATAACCTCACTGTTGACTGGTTTATAAGTGGACAAAGGTTTGGGACCCCTCGGGCCAATAATGCTAGTACCTTTGTAACTACCACTCCTGAGGATGAAAGCAGGATTGTAACAACAACAATATCTTTTAATCCGGTGGATTATTTAAACTTTATCTCACCCGACATAACAAGCTTTGAGCATGCCTATACCTGTGCAGCTTATATCGGGAACTTCTTTAATGAACACGTAACGAATAATGGGACTTGCCTTGAAGGATTATGTAAGTATTTGAGAAGAAAGAGAGAGAGAGAGAGGGAGAGATTGGAGGAAAAGATAGAAAAATAAAGTAGAGAAAGCATTATGTATACAAAGTTCATGCATGTACATTCTATTGTATTTATTTTTTTTCTAGTTGGGCCTGTTCTTATAACAGGGCCTGAAGAGAACTCTACAGCAATTCTTGGGGACAAGTTTATGTTTAGATGTGATCCTGATTATTCTAATCCAAGACCTCATTTACAAATTAGCAAGACACTAGCGAATGGAACTGAACTCAATCTGTATACTGGTCAATCTAAGTTGCATTCTATTGTGAATGTTACCTTTGATGATGCTGGTAGTTACAGATGTGTATTGACTAATGATTATGGAAGGACTGAGAGCAACTTTCAACTGATAATACAAAGTATGTGTGTGATGTAGTAATACAGTAAATATAAGTACATGCATGTACATGTAATTGTATGTACATGTACAATCTATGTAGTGAGAG